ACATAGACATTAATATGTATTTGGTTTCCTCTTTGCAGCTATAACAGCTTCCACTCCTCTGAGAAGTCTTTCCACAAGACTTTGGAGTGTTTCTGTGGGAATATTTGCCCATTTGTCCAGTAGAGGATTTGTGAGTTTAGGCACTGTTGTTGGAAGAGAAGAACTGTCTCACAACCTCCATTCCAGTTCATTCCAGAGTTATTTGATGTGGTTGAAGTCAGGGCTCTGTGTGGGCCAGTCAAGTTCTTCTACACCAAACTCATCCAACCATGTCTTTATGGACCTTGCTTTGTACCCTGGTGCACAGTTATGCTGGAATAAAAAAGGGCCTTCCCCAAACTGTTCCCACAATTGTCCAAAATGTATTGTTATGCTGAAGCATTAAGATTTTCCTTCACTGGAAGTAAGGGGCCAAGCCCAACGTCTGAAAAACAGCCCCATACCATAATCGCTCCTCCACCAAACTTTACAGGTGGCACAATGCAGTCAGGTAGATAACATTCTCCTGGCATCTGCCAAACCCTGACTTGGCCATCAGACTGCTAAACAGAGAAGCGTACCTCGTCACTTCACAAAACTGATTTCAACTGATTTGAGTCCAGTGGTGGCGTGCTTTACACCACTTGACAATGTACTCTGTGATGTGAGGCTTGCATGCAACTGCTGGGCCATGAAAACCCATTCCATGAAGTTACTAACTCACAGTTTTTGATATTAATGTCAGTGGAAGTTTTGAACTCTTCAGCTATGGAATCATAGTGAATTTTATGCACCATGCGCCTCGGCACATGGTGACTGTGCTCTGTGACTTTATTTCCGGTTCATGGCTGAGTTGCTGCTGTTCCTTATTGCTTCCACTTTCCAATAATGCCACTTACAGTTGAATGTGCAATATCTAGCAGAGAAAAAATTTCAGGAACAGACTCATTGCAAAGATTGCATCCTTTGAATGAGCCGTTTTTTCACAAATGTTTGTAAATTGCATTGCTAGGTGCTTGGTTTTATACACCTGTGGCAATGGGCCTGATTGAAACACCTGAAATTAATTATTAAGAGGTGTGTCCTAATAACTTTGTCCACATAAAGGAGGGGGGTGCATTGAGGAAACTGGCCAGGGACGGGAAATCTGACCCTGCTTATGGTCATGTGCTCATGTGCTAGTCATGCTATTTGAGTTGCTGTGTTAGTCCAGGAATGTAGATGCAATATCATGAAGTATTGCAGTTTCCTGTAATACCTTTTTTATTGATACTTTGTTGCTTTATCATGTCTAAAGCATTTCTTATTGCATTAGGCAATGTTAAAGGAAGACTAATGGCACCATAATAACTTAATTGAAATGACCACTAAAAACAACAACAAAGTGGTGTGGGATGGTAAAAATAATGACTGACACAGAAATTAAAAAATTATGAAATTACCTTTTTTTCAGTAACACATTTATGTTGATGAAGTTGTTGTGGTGCCAAGATTGTCCTTTTTAAGGGAGGAACTTCTGTGTGCTAAAAAGCTGTCAAAAAAGAGAGGACGCCACTACAATTCTCCTAAAATCATGTTATTGATCTACGATATAGATACACAGCACTATCATTTTTATGATAAGTATTTAAAAAATCACCAACATTTTCTGCAGAATAAAAATAAAAAGTAAGAATAAAAATACTGAAAATAAAGGGAAGACCGGTGACGGCAATCTACCAAGTAACATAAAAGTGACTTCAAAGGTATGTATATTTTCTATCATTTATTTTCAACTTTCCTTTAGCATTTTTAATGCTTTATCTCCCCAGTTTTACGCGTCCCTTTAACCTGACCTACCATGTCCGCAGATTGATTATCGGAATGACAGTTTAAGCAGCTGAAACAAAACAGACAATAGGAATTTTATGAAGTTCTTTACCCTTAAATCTAGTGTGCTTGCTGTCAAACCCTTTCTCCCTTTACCTATGTGCCGAGAGCCATTACAGAATGTGGCAATTTGAATGTAGCCTTGTAGAGGGCGGTTATGCCCCGAAAAAGGTTATCCTACCCAGTCTAAATGAATACAGCTGATAAAGCAACCTACTCCTTTTGTGATCATTTTGTATTGATCAGCTTTCGGAGCTTTGTCCCTAACTAGTAGCCCATGCAAGTGGGTTGGGAAGAGGAGGAGTCAGCGTGAGGTATAGTGCACAAAAACAAAAGTGACTGACAAATAAAAATGACAAGTTTGTGTTTCTGTATTGAGAAGCAGTGAAATGAAAGCTTGGATCAGACAATGTTAATGCTGCTTTGTGGTGTTTTGGGTCTTGACGGGTAACAAGTTGCAACTTGCTGCACCTGCTAGTAACTCGCAATATTCTCAAATCGAGATACCCAACAAAGTTTGCACATTTCCTCTAAAAAAAAAAAAAAGTCTTAAATCATAAAACTGGATACGAAGTGGTTAACCCTTTCATTGCCAATTTTTTTTTTTTACATTATTTTTTTTATTAGAAAGCACATAAATGTAGGATTTATGGATACATAGTGATATCTATAAAAAAAATTACAATAATTTCAGTTCTTAAAAATATAATTTTCCATGTATTTATTCAACTTTAAAAATGAAACAATTTAAAGATGTATGCAGTAAAAAAGAAAATTGGGGCAAATTGAAAACATGATTACAAAATACAAGCAGAAAGAGCCAAGCCGTGACTGTAATTCTGCAATTTACTTTTCAATTCACTGTTTAGTAAATTACCCCTTATACAAATGGTAGACCCTATTTGACAATATTTCGGACACGGTCTGCACTACTAGCATTGAATTAGAAATTATATTTGTCGCATGCCACAGACCTGAGAAAATCTATACAATGATCGTTATTTTTCGGGTATTTGTGAGAAATTTGATGGGATTTGTTGGAATGCATATTCTTACAAAATTGCATCAAAATATAATTACAATGTAAAGTCAGGCTTATTTGGCAGTTTTAATCTGCATTCCAAAAAGATCATATCTATCCAGATCTAACCAGGTTCTGCCAGGTTCCCCTTTGCTGGATTAGTGACCAGTTGCTTGTCTTTTTTTTACAGACAGCGAGCATTCACTGACTACTTGCTGCTTAGTAGGCATGTAGTTGACTTAGTAGACATATTCGTGGCAAGGCAGGAGGGGCAAGAGGGGCAGGAGGGAGGATTTAACATTCCCTATACAAATTGAGGGACATATTGACCACCATTGCCCAAGGGTGAGGGGGGCTTCTTCTATATGTGTCATATAATGTGCATAGATCTTGTAAAATATCAAAAATATACTTCCAATTTTCCTTTTGTACAGCTTGCATACTTTTCCTTTCTCATTAATATAATGAAACCACACTCCCTTTAGACTGAAAGCTCACTTGAACAGGACCCGCAACAACACGTTCTCCTGCATGCCCAGCTTCTCCTGTTTGTTTGCCCACCATTGTACATCACCAAGTAATATGTTGGTGCTTTATATCTGGTTACAATAATACCAGATATCAGTGATGAGAGATGTCTATAAAGGAGGAATCCCAAAGATGACTTGTTGCCAGGACTGGAGGAGATAGGTGTACTAGGAGAGGGGTTTAGTACCCAATCACATACACGTTGCCTACCTATTCTTCATTTTACAATTGAAATTGGCACTGGACAAAAACTCTGCCAAACAATTAGAAGTTACTGCATTTGTTTGTATTTACACATTCATTTTATGGTTCGTATGATTACAATCTGGTGCATCTGAATTAATTCCTTCCACAGGATCGGCATGAGCTCTTCCTCTTAAAGCAGCATGTCCGCATAGGCATTGTCTAATCCTAAAAGCCTACAACAGAGAGACAGAAACAAAACAGTCATCAAAGGGACACACAGAAAGAACTGCTTCTTTAAATTGACAGATGACTCACTTAATGTGCCTTGGGCCATGCTACGGCTCTCAAGTCAAAGACAGAAGTTCATGATGCAATCTTCCCCATTCAGTAAATTTGGGGTGACTTTAATTTAGGGGGTATAAGGTTAAAACTGAGACTCATAAAAGTTTGTCACCAGCATCTTGAAGGCAGGTACCCAAACCTCCCAAGTCCCTACTTTGGAACTTTATTCATCTGTCCCTCTTATCTATCCTAATGCCTGCTTTTCTAGGAGCTCCATATTGTTGGTGTGTCTGAGTATATAACAGAACTCAACAGGAATTATAGTAATGTGTCTTTAAACTACAATAAATGTGTTTAGAAATCAGTCTGTGTAAATAAGAAACATTGCTCTTGTTCTAAATTACATTTTAGTTATATAATTTTTTATAAGCATGTCACCTATATTTTCTCAGAATAGTCCTCGCCCCACCCCCAGTCACACCCCTAAAATGAAATTGTCCCTCTTAGTTTATTTAAAAATGTTGGGATTTATGGGTAACCCTTAACTCCATTTAAATCCTGCTGTTTTCACAATAGTGTTTTCAATGCAAAGTGCTCCATCTATGAATCTCAAGGCCTGCCTTCCCATATTGAGTACTCTTCTAGTGTTTGTCTGAAAAAACAAAAAGCTGACTCCAGGAGACCAATGTGATGGTAAATTTAATTAATAGTGTATTGTGGTAAGTTGACAATTTTAATATTCCACCTCACATAATAAAGTTGCCAAAAAATTCCAGCTTTCCAATGTTAGAGAGTTTTTACAATTCTACTGTATTTACCTTATTTAGTAAGTTGCTTTTCAACTCATCCCAATTCATTATATACTATATAGTACATTTAATTTTGTGTAATTGTCTGTGTTACAAATAATAATACACATTTTTTCTGTAATTGTTATTTGTCTTGTTAAAGTCACTCAGATCTTTTCGCTTGCCCATTTTTCCAGCTTCCAACACATGAAATTCAAGAACTGACTGTTCACTTACTGCATAATATATCCCAGCCATTGACACGTGTCATTGTAACAATATAATCAATGTTATTCACTTCACCTGTCAGTGGTTTTAATGTTGTGTCTCTTCCCCAAACTCCGGCCCTCCAGATGTTGCTGAACTACAACTCCCATGATTCTCAGCCTATCTATTTCATTTACAGAATCATGGGAGTTGTAGTTCAGCAACATCTGGAGTGCTGGAGTTTGGGGATGCCTGGTATATATCATTGCCCAAATACATCTGAACTTCTGTTGTATGGGCTATTTATGCAATCACTACCTGCGTGAAGCAAAATTGTTAAATATTTCAATGTGTCAGTGTGTTTGCCTTCTTCTAGATTAGCAGTACTAATATTTAATAAGTTGAAAAAGGAAGATTATTGTTACTATTATCACTGCTGTTATTTGCTGTAGTTCTTGCATGTTTTGCTTCTAAGTAAAATATTTTAGTTACCTGTTATTCTTTTGAATAGCTGTTTCTGATATAAAATTACAAACAATTTTCCAATAAGGAATAAAGATGTTCATCAAACTTTTACATTTAAGAATTAAGAGTTTATAAAAGAAAGCAGTAAAAATTGGGAAGAATTCACAATTACGTATTGCGTATTTTGTGTAACTGCATTCAAGTGTGAATTAATTTTCCTTAAAAAATTTAGGCACTTTTGCCAATGTGTGTCAAAATGCTTACATATGTGAAACATTTTATTTTTTTAGAAACTGAACAGTTTTCTACTCTTTGCAATGAAACTTTCTATTTTTATCATATGTCAACTATTAATCTCAGCTAGTGTACCGGGGAATTGGGGGATAGCCGAGGTGCCCCCTGGTGGCTATTCTCTGTCTTACATAGAAATTATTCTCTTAAATCTATACTCACCTATGAAGGGCATCTGACATTTCCTTTATCACATGTTTACATTTTAACACAGCCTTAAATGTTGCAGAGGCTTTCAAAAACTGATTTGTTATTTTACTAATTTCTAAAGTAGAATTTAAATTAAAATTTAATATAGGGGCATGCACACAGTTAATAAGAACAGAGATAATGCATTTAGATAGGTTAAAATACCAGAATCGGCTTTGAAAAGATGTTTAAAAATATCTGCATCGGAGTGGAAAACGGTAATAGCAATATAACTGGTTATAAACAATTTTATTTATCCAGGGGCTCCAGTTTCTAAAAGTGATTTTATAAACCAAGGCTCTTGGTGGTGTACCAGCAGAAAAGGCAGCACAGACTATGTTGTGCTCTTCTATCATTATAGCAGATCTGGAAAGAAAAAACATTCATCAAAAGGTTAGGTATATAGAGGAAAATTAGAAAAATATTTAACTTTACAGACCAAACATGGGAAGACAAATTGGTATCAAGGCCCCATGTAATCAACTTCCAGCAAACATTAGATGTACTAGTTTGTATATGTGAAATAAGTAAACTTGAAAATATAACAGGAAACAAATGCCTAGAAAGCCTGTTTTTTTTTTATCTACTTAAGTGGACACTGCTTTTTCGTGATATCGGACCAGTCATCATCAAATACTGAACCTGAAACAGTCACTTGTTTACAGACATAAGTTAATATAGTTTTAGGTTTTAAAGAACAATAGTGTGGGATTCTGGGACAAAGTGCTAACAGTGATGCAATCACCATGGAAACTAATAGAATGTTCCCACTGATTGCTTCACTTTTAGAACTTTACCCCAAATTACACTTTATACATAACCCTCAATGTATTGAGAATATTTTAAAAGGAGTTGGCTATCTTGGTACCTGGTTTACCTATTAAATAAACATTCCAAGCACCATAACCTCTACAGGCCTCTGTAGTGGTTATGATGTCAGGAGTTCCATGGCATCCTCCCATGGTAAATAATGAAACTATTTAACAATATTTTGACAACTTACCTGGGTTTTGCTGCATGCCAGCAAGGTGCTTCTGTTAGTACCACTGCACTACGCTCTGCTGCGCAGTGTTGACTCATTGAGAGTATCAACTGAGCGCTCTCAGCCACCAAGGGAATCCCCGTGTGGCTGGGCTTAGCTCATTGCAGGAGCTTCCTGGAGCAGCACCAGACACCCAGAAGACCCCAAACTATTTTTTAATGGTTTGACTATTTGCTCTTTGAGGTTGCCAGGTAACTCCTAGCACTATAACCACTACAGCTGGTTGTAGTGGTAATGGTGTTTGGAGTGTCCCTTTAATGAACTGCTAATCTGTAAATCTGAATACATCATAAATGGCTACAAAAGCTCTTTGTGTACTTTAGTGAGAGATCCTTGGATGTCAGCCAATTTCAAATGAAAAAGAAATGATCTCTGTTGGAATAAAGAGGTTAAAAGGGGATGGCTTGTTAATTAGCAGTGTTTAACTGCATGTTAAGGTCAATATAGCTGCACAACTATAATAACTTTATTAGAAAACATGGCCAAAACATTTTAAACAGCTGTCATTGTTTTTATTATATTGTGGGTGAGATGAAACAGGAGCCCCTGAGGTTATTTATAGACATGCCAAATCCCTGGTCTTTCTTAAAACATTCAAAGAGTGTTGACGATATATAGCATACATTTAAAGTCTGTCGGAAAATGGCTAAAAACATTTCAAATGTTTCAAAAACATATTAGAAAAAGGTTATTCTTTATGTTCTTTAATTTTTTTGTAACTGATTAAGAGAGCCATTTTGACAAAGAGGACCACATCTAGAAAGTCGACTTGTGTTTGAATACTTGGACGTCAGCCCAGCCAGTATAAAACAAGAAGGGAATAATCTGTGTTGGAATAAGAAGGTTAAAGGGGAACGGCGGTTAATTAACAGTGTTTAGCTACATGTTAAGGTTAATATAAGCACATAATTAGCAGTTAATCAAGCAGTTAATCAACAAATCCTCCCTTGCGCATCATGTGGCAGCAGGCAAGCAGACAGTCATCAACAAGCGTTAGAACATGTATTTAGCGGTAACGACAATCGATTGGGTTAAAGGAACATGCCAAGCAAAACAACCATTGCAGCATGCTGTAGAAGTTATGTGCGTCAGGGGTGCCCTGACACACCACTAATTTAAGTAGACAAATCATTTGCTTACAGTTTGACAACTTACCTGGGGTCTGCTGGACCCCAGTCACCACCTCCGTTAGAGCCACAAGCTCTCAGAATTGCAGGGCTTAGCTCTTTGGCTGTGAGTGATCATCTAATACTCTCAGCCAATCGCATAGCAGGGTTTAGCGTAGGAGAAATCATGGAAGCTCTATGTAGGAACTTCTCTGTACATCGCAATGTATTTCGTCATGTTTCTTATGATGATCTCCAAACATTGTAGGCTCCTATGTATAGAAATTTTTTATCAAATACTTGGCCTTGCTGTACTCGATCATGGCTTTAATCGAATAGCAATTAAATCAACTTGAAAAAAATTCTTTGCAATGTTAGTTTTACAAGAAAGTTTTGTTCTATTTGAGCTAATGATATTAACTTAAAAAAAAATGAAGACAGCCTAAATGTTTACATATTTAAGCTCAACCATAAACTGATATGAGATTGAGATAATTTATTTAGAAGCAAATATGTGACAATAATAAACCATTAAGGAGGACTGGACACTAAGCGACTTATGTTAAGTTGACAACCTGCGGCATTTGGTCTTATATAACCAAGTTAGAGAATATATCTCTCTGTATAGAGATGGAGATTTGTTTTCAAACTTATCTATTTAAACCTAAGTTATGCAGGTGGGTTGTAAACTTAATATAATTTACTCTTAAGGAATATAACCCTATGTACAGAATAGAAACTAAGGTGTAAACAAATATATAAGTACATAAAATAAAACTATTAAAAAATCAACTTCTCGCTGCTATGTCACACATTACAATTGCAATTGTGCAATCGTTATTATCATATATCCTTGCATATAGCAACAATTTATGCAATATGTCCTTTACTCTGCCTCTTGTCATAAAGCAACTTAACAAAATACAGGGTAGTTATCCTATAGCAAGGGTGCCCAAAAGGTAGAACCCCGGATGGTTTTAAACTACAGCTTCCCTGATTCTTTGTCATTTTAAAGCATTTAAAGGCATGCAAAGAATCATGGGGGTTGTAGTTCTACAACATCTGGGGATCCATCTTTTGAGCACCCCTGTCCTACAAGGTAGTGAATTTTTGCTGCAAATTGTAAGTGAATTGTAAAGTACAATTTAGAGCAATATATAAAACAATTCAAAATCTTTTTAATCCCAAATAATGATGGACATCTATAAAACATACTGTTAACTTTATACAGTGTGTGTACACTGATCAGCCACAACATTAAAACCACTGACAAGTAAGTGAATAACATTGATTATACTGTTACAATGACACCTGGCAAGGGGTTGGATATATTAGGCAGCAAGTGAACAGACAATTCTTGAATTTCATGCATTGGACGAAGGAAAAATGGGCAAGTGAAAAGATCTGAGTGACTTTGACAAGGGCCAAATAGTGATGGCTATACAACTAGGTCAGAGCATGTCCAAAATGGCAAGTCTTGTGAGTTGTTCCCAGTATGCAGTGGTTATTACCTACCGGAAGTGGTGCAAAGAAGGGCATCTTGAGAGGATAATTGGTGCCCAAGGCTCATTGATGCCCATAGGGAATGAAAGCTAGCCTGTCTAGTCCACTCACATGGAAGAGCTACTGTAGCTCAAATTGCTGAAAAACATAATGCTGTCCATGATAGAAAGGTGTCAGAACACACATCGCAGTATTCTGCATATGATGCTGCTTAGCTGCAGACCGGTCAGAGTGACCACCGAAAGTGTTGTCAATGGGGACATGAGCGTCTGAACTGGACCATTGAGCAATAGAAGAAGGTTGCCTGGTCTGATAAATCAGGTCTTCTTTTAGGTCAGGTTAATGGCCAATTGCATGTGCGTTGCTTATGACAGCAGGATGCACTGGAGGGCCAGCAGATGCAGTGTTATGCTTATGGGCAATGTTCTGTTGGGAAAATTTGTGCCCTGTGCTGGAACAACAAATCCGATAAATGGAGGCCCCACCTCACAATTTGCAGGACTTAAAGATCTTCTGCTAATGTTTTGGTGCCAGATACTACAGGACATATTCAGAGGTCTTGTAGAGTTCAGGCCTCAATGCATCTGAGCTGTTTTGGCAGCACAAGGGGGACCTGCATGATATTAGGCATGTGGTTTTAATGTCGTGTCTGTGCAAAGTGTGAAAACGTTTTCATTTATTTGTTTCCCTTTTTGCATTGTATTATTCAAAAAAATACAAAAAGTTAGAAGTCGTTTCTTTTAAACAAATTACAATAGATGAGAAAGCACAGGGCACGTTAGTTTTCCATCCTTCCCTTGTTGCTTATATGCTTAGAGATCCCTCCATTCTCTTCTCAAATTAATGTAAACAAAAGGGTTAACAGACTCTAGAAATCAGAAACATACAGAAAATACCACTTTCAGCCAAATTGCAATTCGATCCGATCGGGTGGTCGTCCAAATTCTGTGACTTCAAAGCATGATATGAACGTAGAACTGAACAGACGTCTCGTGCAATGTAGGAGCATAGTCATTTGATTCGTGATTCCAAGTTCTGTCCACAGCCCCAAAAAATCTACTGGTTGATGGGAAAAAAGATGATTGATGGTTAGGGGACCCCTGCTGTAGGGTAACTACCCTGTATTTTGTTAAACGTTGATTTTTATTTTTTTCACATCAAATGAAATGTGACCAACAGAGGGAAAAAAGTCGGAGCAGTAAAAAAACACAACTATATTTATATATTTATTATATATTTAGTAAATATATCCTTTATAAATAGATTTTTCTTACTGCTCCTCCTCTTTTTTCCTCGTTTGGTTGCTTTTTCTTAATTGACCTGTGAACTAAATGATGGGAAAATGCACCTATTAGTGTACTAATATGTATATTATGTATATTTATATATTTATATCTTTTTTATGCTATGTATATATATTTTACAGTACACTGATTGTCTCATTTTTTTCTACTTTTTGTTTCGTCTAAATTGCTTCCCTGAACATTTTGCATGGGCCATATTTGGACAACCATATCCATCACAAGGATGTCTATCGGACCTCCTGAATTAACCTTTATTTTCGGATTAAATGATTTGGACAAACAGAATTTTTCCACCGTGCAAAAGTGTAAAAAAAAATACTATCAATTAATACTTAGTATTGATAAATAGATTCATAAAATAAATACTATCATTTAATACTTAGTATTGATACAGTAACAATATTGTATATTGCTTATCAACCAATTCTGTGTTCTCTTATTCCTTCATTCATAAAAAAATACTATCAATTAATACTTAGTATTGATAAAGTAACAATATTGTATATTGCTTATCAACCAATTCTGTGTTCTCATTCATTCTTGTCATCACAAACTGACAAACATACATGTGAGTGTAGATATAGAGAGGAATATGTTGCAGATCAATAACTGACATTTACAATTTATTTGCTTAAAAAGCACACCCAATGGTAGTAGCAGAGGGGGATATAATAACTTACTTCAGGCACTTCTGTGAATGTATAAATTTAATAAATATTAACCCTTAAATTCTACCCTATCAATTTTTGTGTGTTTTCGCTTTTAACCTTTTTATATACTGTGTTTTTAAAAACATTGCAGCATAATATGTAGAAGAATGTCTCAGTACAATAGAATTAATAACCAACAATTGAAAAATAACTGTAATATCTCTGCCAAAAATTAACCCTTTAAACTGTTAACCATTTCACTAGCACTTAAATTGTGAATCTGCCACTACATAACTGTAATAAATATCATACTGTTGAGAAAAAATAAATGTGTTAAATCACAAAAAAAAAAAAAAAAAAATCCCATTAAAGAAGCAGTGACTTTTTGGCTTTTAATGCCCCTTGTGAGTTTCAATGCCCCCTGTTTTAGATTTTTTTTTTTTTGCAAGCCTTAAAATTGTCTTACTTTATAATTGCCAAACAATCTCCCTGAATCACTTCTGCATAAAACCATTTCTATTGTCATGACAGCACATTAGAAAGTGCTGCAGGCTTTGAAGTTTTTTTTTCTGTAATGGTGGTAAGTTGAAAGAAAATCTTTTTCCTATTACTTAATTCAATCATAGAGAAGAGGCTTGGTAAAAAGCCCACAGATTCTACCCAAAGTGTGACAGAGTCCTCTTTGTGTTTCCTTATCCTTAGCTGTCACACACTTTAATTCGCTTCTCTTTAGCTTGCATTCAAAACTTTCTTCAATGACATTCAATAAGGTCCAGGCTGAAAAAAAAAAAAAAACTGGTTATTTTTTTTGGATGGGCTTCCCAGTAGCTTTGCCTGGGTGTCCATTCAGAGAGGGAGAGATTTAACTCTTTCCCTGGGGCTATTAGATGGCCTGAGGGTGCACAGATGCAGGTGCAGAGATGACTGTGGCCTCTGGATCATGGCTACAGTCTGTCTCTGCCTGGTCATCCCTACACCATCAAACCATCAATTATGCAAAGCAATAGGCTTTATGTGTCCTTAATATCCCATATCACTATTAATATTCATCAACCAGTAAAGTGAATCAATTAGATGGGTGTTAGAGACGCAGACTCCCATGCACACCGACTGACACACACACACACACACACACACACACACACACACACACACACACACACACACACACACACACACACACACACACACACACACACACACACACACACACACACACACACACACACACACACACACACACACACACACACACACACACACACACACACACACATCAATAATATATTTACACACACAAACCAGAATGTATTAATTTACATATTAAGTCTTCATGTGTGATTCTCTGCCATGATATATTTGAACTTTATACCAGATCAAAGTAATTATTCTTATATTTGCATAGTTTAAGGAATTCATAACGTGTGTATACTTAAAAACACATACTTAAAAATGCAGTGGGAAGTAAAATACATAGAGTTGATAGATTAGAATGTGATGTAATAGCGACAGATACATTGTAGTGTGCATTTAAAAGAATACATGCAGTGTAGAGTTCAGTAACCCAATTCATTTAGTTAGGGAGATGCACATTTATCTCCACGGTATACTTGGAAAAATGTGTAACCACTGGTTCAAAATATAAACACAAACCTACTAAATCCACGATATCTTCAAGCATTAATGCTTTGTGATTTACATAAACAATATAAGATCTGCTATTCATCTATCTGTCACTTGATCTATCTGTCTATATAACTGTCTATAAATCTGTCTGTTTATGTGCATGCCTGTCTGTGTCTGTAACTCTCTGTTTGTCTGGCTATCTGTTTGTTTGTCTCTGTATCGATCGATGTATCTGTCTTTCTGTCTGCCTGTATCTGTCTGTGCACCTACGTATCTGTCTGCCTATGTACCTATCTCTTTGTCTGTCTCTCTGTTAATGTATCTTCCTCTCTGTCTATCTAAGAGTCTCTCTGTCTGTCTATGTACATGTCTCTGAGTTTGTCTGTTTCTCTGTCTATGTATCTGTCTCTCTCTGTCTGTTTGTCCATGCCTCTCTCTGTCTCTGTCTGTTTTTGTTTGTATCTGTCAGATTATGTATCTGTCTGTCTAACAGAATACACACAGCGTGTGCCAGTTGAATGCCCGCTGCCCATGAAGCCCAGGTCTCAGATTGCAGCCAGGCTCCGTGCCCCTGATTGGGGACAGGATAGGCTGTGGAATCGCAGCCACATTCTACAGGTGGCAGTATAAAGGATGGTGGAGAGCAATGAAGCTGGGATTTAGATAATAGCGAGCAGTATTTTCAGATAACAGGGATGGGGTGAACCTGCTAATATTCAATAGAGCAAAATGCATGTAGATAAAAGAATATTAAATAGACAGGGAATGAGAAAATAAGTCCCAGGGAGGGGGAGAGCCCGTTACGGTGTGGGTGGGGCTGACAAGAATAGAGTACATTATGCAGTTCATTTAGTTAACAAGTGAAATAATGAGGAAGCGTGCGCAGTGAATGCCAAGAGAAAGGCCACAAAAAGGCTATTGAGTCCAGTCCCAGCATCACATGGTCCGCCCGCTATTTATACCGAGCCAGGGGCTTTCAGCACCACATTGCTGGCTAGCAACCTGTGTGCACATCTCTCCATCACTGGGACTCCAGCACCGAGCACACTGTCAGCTCATCACTGGGATTTCCCGAGTACACTGTCAGCTCATACTGGGACTCCCTAAGTACACTGCCAGCTCATCACTGGGACTGCCACCTGTAACCTGTGTACACTGTCAGCTAATCACTGGGGCATTGGCACTTTGTGTGCACTTTTCTGTATTGATCAAAAAAGACTTCAAGCATCCTGTGTGCACATAACCCAGAGAATACATCAGCACCCCGTGTTTATCCAGCGCTCAGCACCCATCAAGACCCCTAGTGCCCTGTGTGCACTGATCAAGGAAAACTACAGCACTCTGTGTGCACTGACTGAGGCTGAGCGCACTGCTTGGAACTCTCAGCACTGAGTTTGCATTATACAGGACAGTAATCACCCAGTGCGCTCTGTCCAGGACCCAGACACCCAGTGCGCTCTATCCAGGACCCCAGACGCCCAGTGCGCTCTATCCACGACCCCAGGTACAGGGGAGAGGCTGACTCGGTTCTCAGACAGCGGATAGCACTCCCTCGGGACTCATGCCTCGCTCATTCCTGGTGGATTCCCTCATACTAAGGGAGTCCAATGACAAGAAGGACGATACCAGCCCACCCATCTTCCCCTATGCAATGCACCCCTCTCACCCCCTGCATGGGCTACCTGCCTCCTGTCACTCCAGAAAAGGGGGTCTCCTGTGTGTGTGCCCCATGTGTGTTACCTCCCAGCTGCATCCAGGACCCCCAGGGATACCACTCCTCAAGGCCTCCTTCTCCTCCTTCAGCTCCCAGTATTGTCCCCCAGGCCTGGGCAGACAGCACTCAGCAACCTCTGGGATCAACCTGAGCCATGCTCCAACCATCTACCAGGCCACCTACCCCATGGCAGACCCCAGGCAGTTCCACTGCATCTCTGTCGGTGAGTATCTCTCAGTAAATTCCAATCACAAACATGTTCAAACTAATGACAACTAGCAGCCACGCTGCGGAGATTAAAGGGTTATAATAATGTTTAATTCTGAATAAATCTAATTCCCATTTACTTAGCTCTAACAGAAAAATAACGTCTCTTCCTCATTGGAATAAACATATGGGCGCACACAGTCAGTTCAATATTTTCCTCTTAATATAAACACTTGGAATTATTTTTTTTTTGTAAAATAGACCAGAGATTAATTTGCTATTAGAACAGAATCTCGAATATTTAGTAAACAATTAACCCTTAATTAGAAGGTATAGCACAGCTTTCTAGACGTTTTGAGCATGTTACACTTTACAATGAAGTTATAATTTATTAATCCTTTAATATAACCCTGTATTGCATTTTATGAGATTAAAATGAGATAAATCGTATTCCAGTAGTATATCTCTGTATAGTTCTGGATAAATAATCCAAGTGTGCGGTAATTATTATTATTGAAACCAATGTAATGTGTCTCTTCTTTGCTCCACGTGTAACAATTCTCTCCAGTCCATTCCAGCTTCCATATCCCTGCCTGCCATTGTAGCACAATCTTAGTACAAAACGTATAAATAAATACTTATAACACCAGTCAAATGAATTAATCCAAGTTGGACATTTTGTCCCAGTTTACCTTATAAATATGGACTGTGTTGAGAAAGGTACGAATGGTCTACTTCTGGAGCTAAATGTTGCAATCTCGCTTTTGATACATATGACGCAATCTGTGTAGCGGTATTAATCTAACCTCTATGTTCCATCTTTCCTTGCAGACACATCAAGCAGTCAGTTGCCCAGCAGTAAAAGGATGCGCACAGCCTTCACCAGTACCCAGCTCCTGGAGCTGGAGAGGGAATTTGCCTCCAATATGTACTTGTCCAGACTGAGGCGCATAGAGATTGCCACTTACCTCAACCTCTCTGAAAAGCAGGTCAAAATCTGGTTCCAGAACAGAAGGGTTAAGCACAAGAAAGAAGGGAAGAGCAGCTCCCACAGAGGGAGTCCCCACAACTGCAAATGTTCATCATTGTCTACAAAGTGTTTGGAAGAAGAAGATGACTTACCTATGTCACCCTCTCCATCCTTATCAGAAAAAGAAGACAGAGACCTGTCACCAAGTCCTTAAGCCAAAAAAAGCGACAAAAATCAATGAACTAAGACATTATCACTGTACATTGGATAGAACGTTCTAAGAGCTCATTTAAATTATATGTGTTTCATAATGACTGTCAACAAAGCATCTAGACTGTGACTCTGCTGACTATTGTACATAGTGCATACATCCTAGGACTATCACAAAATCACTGATGGCTACTCAGTTGGTTAAGAAAAGGGTTAATATAGTGTTTTTACGCATTGGGCACTGGGGTGGTGTTTTGGCACAATACATTGGAACAGTTTTTGGCCCTCCAAGACAGTAAATTGCGTAACTTAGGGACAGCAAATATTTGTAAACTTCACTTCTCACGATGACCAGACAGCTTTTAGTCAGCCTTTAGGTTTTAGAGGGGCTAAGCATCACGGGAAATGTAGTTCAAATGCAACTGCAGTGCCAAGTTCAGCTGTCACTGTCTCTCCAAAATGCAAATGATGTAAATATTACAATATGTGTGTGTCTATGAAAGCATTTCCAGTGAAAATTTAAATATGTGTTAATTTTGTTTTATAAAAATCAAGAAAAAAACTGCAGAATGGTGATATTCTACCTATTAAAAATGTTTAAGAAAAAAAAAACACGTTTTCGGTATGCTGTATGTTTTATTGTATTGTTTCTGTATATCAGAAAATATTTATTTATTTATGTAAAAAAATAAACTTTTTCTTATAAAAAATATATATTCGAATTACTCATTCTTAATGTTGTTTTCGTCATTTTTAAGGTATTTTTTTCTTTAAATATTTAAAAAAATAAATAAATTCGCTACGAAAATTCAGGTGTGAACAAATGATATTAGAAATAGTTCGAAATATTTTTAAAATTCTAAAAGTAAAATTCGTGAATATTAAACCATAAACAAATAAGAAAAATATATCAATTTAAAAAAGGGAAAAGTAAAAAATGATAAAAAAACAATAAATAAAATAAATCATATTCTAAAAGACATAATTGTGTATGGTAATTAGACTACAATATATAAATGTAAAATATATACACACATATATATATATATATATATATATATGCAATACAGCAAAATCATATAAATATAAAGAATTATAACGCTTTGAAAGCATTTTTTTTATATAGTTCCTTAATGTAAAAATACAAACATATTTTCCCTTTCAAATTCGACTTTAGAGCAAGTCTGCTTGTTATTCTGATATATAAATGATTTATATATCCATTCTTATATTCCTGACAGATTATGGCGATACAAGTTATCATTTCACGGTTAAATATGTAAAGACAGGGACACTAATAATTTTATTATATTATCCTGCTCAGAATATTGTCTTACAAACGGAAAATTTTTACTGGAATCTCTGGATTGAAGTCAAAGCTAATAAAATTTATGGGAAAACACAATTTTAGTCTTGAAAACAACCAAAACAAAAAACTAAATAATATTTCTGATACAGTTATAAACAATAAACGTAATATTACTATATATCCTGAAATATTTTTTTTGTTATATATATAATTATTATTATATATGACATATTTTTGTACATCTTTATATAATAAATAACATTAAACAATTTAACATGTATACTTTATATCAGCGATGGCTAGCCTCTGTCTGTTGTTTTGGAACTACAATTCCCATGACGCACAGCCAATCTTTGAATCCTTCTTATATTTACAATCCAGCATATTACACAGTCAGACTTAAGACACTCCAGTTCTGTGGGACTGCCATTCCCATAATGCTGTGCATTATATTTAATTTAGTCTAACACAGCTCATTTGGCAAATGTTTGCCAAAATTTTACTTTGCAATGAAATATATATACGATCAGTTGTATTCCTTCATTTAACCTCATTATAGCCAATATCCTTTAATCAATATAACCTTATTATAGCCACTAACCTATAACCAATGTAACATCATTATAATCACTATTCTATAACCAATATAAGATCATTATAACCAGTAACCAATAACCAATTTAACCCGATTATAACTACTAACCTATAACCAATATTAACTCATTATAACCACTAACCTATAACTAATATAACCTCATTATAACTACTAACCTATAACCAATATTAACTCATTATAACTACTAATCTATAACTAATATAACCTCATTATAGCCACCTGTATAACCTATAACCAAGATGACTCCATTATAGCCACTAACCTATAACCAAGGTGACATCCTTATAGCCACTAACCTATAACCAATATAACATAATTATAGCCACTAACCTATAACCAATATAATCCTTTTATAGTCACTAACCTATAACCAATATATTCATATTATAGCAACTAACCTATAACCAATATAACCTTATTATAGCTACTAACCTATAACCAATATTACCTTATTAAAGCTACTAACCTATAACCAATATAATGTTATTGTATCCACTAACCTTTATGTAATATAACCTTATTATAGCTACTAACCTATAACCAATATAATGTTATTGTATCCACTAACCTTTATGTAATATAACCTTATTATAGCTACTAACCTATAACCAATATAATGTTATTGTATCCACTAACCTATAACCAATATAACCTTATTATAGCTACTAACCTATAACCAATATTACCTTATTAAAGCTACTAACCTATAACCAATATAATGTTATTGTATCCACTAACCTATAAGCAATATAACCTTACTATATTCACTAACATATAACCAAGACTGTTGCTGCTGTTAAACTGTGTTCTGTAGTTCCAGAATTTGATACACAAATGCAGCATTGCACCTTGTAAGTTCACCTGATAGTGACCAAAAACATACATTCACAATATGGCATAAAAACAATACTACTGAGTAGATATTGGAGACACAATTCTTCTTAATATGAGAACGATGCTCACATATAAAATAGCTATTTTTCACATCTGTTAATGAAGTGAAGCACATTCTTTTTAGGACAGAAAAATGCAGAATTTGGGTCAAAATAATAGAATTGGAAAAAAAAAGCAATCTCTTTTCTAAAGTTTCGTTTTAACTAAACAGAAAATTGACCCTGGAAAAATGAAAATACATTTGTGCAATCTTTATTAAAATATTTAAGATAGGAAAAAAAATCTTTAACTGGGCAGAATTAGAAATATATTAGTTTTTTACTTTGGCAAACTTTTTTTTGTAAGTTTGCTTTTCACCTACTTCTGTATAATTAATATACCCTATATACATTCATTGGCTATCAGGGTTATTCACCTATGTGAGAATTCACAGAGAATTTAAGGTCAATATAGGCAAATTGGAAAAATTGTCTAAGTCAGCTATGCTCTTAGTTTAGCTACTTTGGCCTTACATATGAAATTCACTTTGAATTCTCATTTTCGTGAATAACCATTTTGTCCAGCCTACCCATTGTACAGCTCTGCGGAATATGTTGGCCCTGTATAAAAAAAACAACAACTAATCTTCGTACAGGGCTATGCAAATCCAATCCTTGCGTAGAACAAAATGTTTGTCTATGGATAATGCCAAGCATATTGGTTAGTGGTACTCACAGTTAATTGCTTAATTAGAAACTAATTTAAATCTCCATTAGAATAGGACACTTTAGCGCTGGTTTGGGCATTTGCATCCAATGTGAGCGGTGGTGCCTGTATCCCATTACCGCCATTGGTAGCATGATGCAGATGCTGAAATACCTCAATTCAATTATTTTCTGTTCTATGGCTGTTATTTCTTCTTGAATCAGACTGAACAGCATGCAAACAGGAAAATGGCATTTCAGTGAATTAGACACTAAACTGTGAATTGGAGAGAAGTGACAAGACAGTGGCAAGTTTAGGCCACATTTACTAAACTATATACATTCTCCAAAAATAAATAAGAGAGTGACTACTACATATGAATCATATGTAGGAGCCTCACATATGGTTATTGAAGTAATCTCAAACAGGGGGTAACCCTTACTGATCAAAAAAAGTTAGAGAAACCCAGGAGAGTGGAGATTACTATAAATGGGTAGAAACCACTTAATTAGGATAAAAACATAGAGCTTTATTAATTAAGATTAAAAAGGAAAAAACATGTCTACAAACGTGAACAAACTAGTGTGGCTAGTGGGCTGAAAATATTGTAACAACAGATATTATTCGACAAAAAAAATAAATTAAAAGAAAAAGGGGATTAACCACTGTTAGATATGAGGTCAGCAAAGAACTAGTTAATACATTTAGATCACATAGAAGAGGAGTGTCAGAAAAATGGACACTGTGTCTAGGCAACATTTCGCAATATATCAGATAGATTGTTACAAAGTATTATTTAAGAGCTCTTGCTTAGGAGAGGTTGAAATTAAGTAATCAATTTACTCATATAGTTGGTGCGAGGGAGATTAAGCCGCATGTGTAACACGCGCTCCCCGGCCATTGCTGGGGGAGGGGCTCTGATTCCTTCGGTGCGCTTTTCCGGAAGCGTTTACCCACCTGACCTGTTTGCACATGTGGCTCCTTTCTTCACTCCCCTCCTTGTCTTTCTGTTGGCAGATACTGTGTTTGGGGTTACTCAACCCCTGGGATTAGTTTCTCTCTGTAAGGTTATTTGATAAACGTCCTTGGTGCCCTGTTGCCAGCCCACTCTCACTGGAATTAACTCCTTGCTGTCTGGGCCTGCAACCCTGATTTTTTAAAGTGTTATTTTTCTGTTCTGATTATGCAGCCTAGAGGGGAAGGGACTGACAGCCACATTTACCCCCTCATGGATCCCCTGTTACCCTCTGCTGCGAGGGAGGCTGGCCTCACACCCTCTCAGGAGTTCCAGGCCCTCCTGGACTCCACTATGCAAAGAGCCCTGGCCTCAGCTATGGGGACTGTGTCATCTTCCCTGTCACATATGTTGCTACAGTTTTGCCCACCTCCCAACCTGATCTGCAGGCACATGTGGGCCGTAAGGCACGTACTAAGATCAAGCACATCTCCCCTCCCACAATGATGCAGGTACTACCTGCCCTGACTGGCGCACCTGTGGCCG